TATAGAGATATATTTCAATTAGATATGTATTCCTCAAATATTTCAGAGACCTTCAGAATATGTCATTTAAAATGTTTTAAGATGAGATACATCTGCTCCTGTCAACTCCAATCTATTTCAAGAAAATAATAGTCATCAAAGAGGCTCCTCATAGAGTTTGTTAGCCATTTGGGCAAGAAACTGTTTATGCCTGGACTGCTTGATGGACTTTGCCATTAAAAGGGAAAACAAGTCTTCAAATTTTCTGCTTTGTGGGCTATGGACCTGTAGGCTGAAGATGGATGTCCCAAAGGTAGAGAAGAACATTGATTGATTGCTCAGGTATCAAGATGTTTCTGTCAATTTTAGAATTTTGTAAGTTGCTTACAATGTTCTTTCTGTTTACTTAGGTAATATTATATCCTTCTGGAGTCTTTGATATATTTGATGAATAGATAGTTATAATTATATTTTTCCTTAGTTATGATAAAAGATAAAGTGGATATAAATATTATAACTGTAATTCTTGTTTGATACCTTTTTGGTTATATGTAATTTTACTATGTTAAATTTAAAACCTTCCTTTTTATTTAAACAGAAAAGGGGAAATGATGTTGGAAGTCCTTTTGTATATGTGTTGATTTTACCAGATAATGAATAAGGAAGATGATTTTTGCCTGTTAGGGCAGAGTAAATCTAGGTGGGAAAACTAAACTGAATGCTGTGAGAAAGAAGGCAAATTCAGGGAGAAACCAAGTAGCTGCCACAGGAGACAGACATGTTGAAATTTTGGTGGTTGGCCCCGACATTGGGGTGATGCACAGATTAATGGAGTTGGGTTATCTTAGGATATAAGAGCAAGCTAAAAATATGCTTAAGGTATTGAGCAAATAGTATTGCAAATAAATCCTGTCACAGCAAGTATTGGCAAGCTACTTTTGCTTACAAATCATTTATGTGTGTCTGTGTGTATATGTGTAGTACACATTTATTGACCTGCATACATTGAACCAACTCTGAATCACCAGGTAAAGTCAAATTTATGGCTATAGATGATCTTGATACCTACTGATATTTGTTTTGAAATTATTTGATTTATAATTTTTATATCTACATTCATCAATGATATTGGCCTATAGTATTATTTTACTCTTGTCTTTACTTGGTTATGATATTAGAGTAATATTGGCTTCAGAGGAAAAGTTTGGATGTGCTGCTTCTTTTCTGTTTGAACACTTAGGAAATATTGGTTATGATTCTTTATAAAAAATAAATTTTATTTTGGAGAATTTCATATAAGGGAACTGCATCTACATCATTCCATATACCTGTTCCCTTGTAATCTCCCCATAGTCCTTTTCCAAACTATCTCTTCGCTAATTGTTGTTGTAAAATGTATATACATAAGTATAAATATGCACATTAAACACAAACACACATACACACACATGAAAAAGCCCATTTAGTTTTGCTCACATGTACATATGTTCAGTGTTGACCACTTGGGATATGCAAATTTTGGGGTTCCTTGAGACATCTGATTTTCCCACTTATCAACTATTGACTATGTCTAGCACTTTACATAGTGGTGTGATAATGTGGAAATTCCTTGTGCACATTTTGAAGTCAACTGATGTTATTATGCAAGTTGTTCAGATAAGCATATGCTGTGATTTCATGAATACATTTCTCTGTAGTTTCTCGAGGGTATAATTTATCAATTGGTGCCTCAGGCCTCTGTTTCTTAGAATATTTTTGACCCCTCTGTAATTTCTGAAATTTTTCCTGAAGCTTAGGTTTGGAGGTTGCATTACAGATGTATCATAGTCACTTATTATCTACATTTGGATCTTTAATAATTTCCATAACCTTAAAATAGAAGCTTCTTTGAAGAGGGATAAGAGCTTGACCCTCTTGTGAATATAAGGACCAATGTTCTGGAAAAAAATATTAATTTCTTTTAGGTCTATGATCTCTACAGCCATGGGTAGCTGTTTAGGTATATTGTATCAGTCACAAATTACCTCCTGCTGAGTGAGCCAGAAATCCAATTAGGTAACTGTTAATTACCTCCAAGAAAAATGTGCCACAATTGCACCATTTTTAATGTATTGTCAGTCAAATCATGATTTTGCTTTATAGGCTTTATAGATAAGTTCAACTGCTGAATACTCGTTTTCCTCAGTAGCTTGCATGAACCTCCTAATTGTATAAGAACCACTCTTCAGGGATGGGGTTCCCAGTTCAGTTCTAGCTTTATTTCTCTCAGTATTTTCCTTCTTTTTATTTATTCTTTGTGTGTATTCCAGATCATGGTTTTCTTTTTTAATTTCATTCATTTCCCTTTACTTTCATATACACCCTGTGCTATTGCAACCCTCCTACCTCAAATAAAATGAAATAAAATTTAAGAGAACAAAGAAGTAAAAATATCAGTCTCCTCTTGGAAACTGTAGTGTGACACAGTAAGTCAATGAGGGGCAGGACCAGTTCTGGTTTCATGGTTTAACGGTCAGATCTCCCATGTCTACATCGTAGGGGCCTGCTCTACTCTGCTGCCCAGGAATGGTGTTGCAGCCACTCTCCTGAGTACTGTAGCTTATGAGGGGCAGGGACAGTCCTCCAGTTCTTATGACCACAGGGCCAGCTTTCCCACCTGCCTCATGTCCTGATGGGCGTGGGGGGGGAGGGCATATGTCCCCCACTCACTCCTCAAAATGCCAGAAAGGTAACTATTCTATGCTCAAATCTTCCAGGCTGGCTCACCCACACTTTTGCCTTGGCTTGGCTCTATTTTGCTGCCCAGGAGAGGTATAGGGCTTGCTCTCCCAGGTGTTGCAGCTGGTGGTGGGCAAGGACAGTTATTCCATACTTATAACCTTAGAGTCAGCTCTTCCACCTGCCTCTGTCATTGATTAGGGAAGGTAATCTCTCCCCAACGCAGGCTGTCATATGGCAGATGAGGGGCCTGGTCAGGTCTCCCACATTCACATTCACAATCTGGTTCACCCATGCCCTATGAACAGGGATAACTCCACTGTTCTTCCCTGATGAGGCATAGGGTCTGTTACCCTAAGTGCTGCAGCTGGCAAAGTGTTTGGCTTCCTCACCATCTAGAAGAGGTAGGAGGGACAAGGGAGGAGGACATCTTCCCCTCATTCTTACAAGCACTCCTTGGCTGAAAGAGGCAGTATCAGCTATTCCCCTCTCATGCACTGAGAAGTGGGTCACCTATGCCCCTGTCCATAGGGTCTACTTTACTATGCGGCTCCAAAGAGGCTGAAGGCCTCTTCTTTCGGGTATTGCAGCTAATGATGGGTTGGGTCATGTCGCCCACTTGCTACACGTGGTAAGGAGCTAAGTGGAGCAACTTTCCTTCACCACATAGCAGGCATGCACTGCTCTCTCCCTTTCCCATGGTCAGACACTTCACAGCAATACCTTACTTCTGGTACTGACGTTTATCTTAGTTACTTTTCTATTTCCTGTGAAAAAACAGCATGACCAAGGCAAATTACAAAGAAAATGTGTTTAGCTTAGCTTATTGTTTAGACTGTAAGGGTCCATGATAGCCAAGCAAAGGAATAGCTGAGAACTGACTTTTTTTTTTTTTATGGTCAGTGATCAGCAACATTGG